ATGTATATACATATATATATGTGTGTATATACATATATATATATAAGAATAAATATATATATATATATATGTATATTTATGTATACACATATATATATATATATCTCTATCTATCTATATGTATATATTATTTATATTTATATTTATATGCATATACATATATATTGTCTTATCAAATGTATATATACAGACAAGAAAGTATACACATATATTAGGATATATGGATATGTATATACATGTAGCTAACATATTTATACATATATATAAGAATATATTTAAGAGTATATATATATATATATATATGTTTGCAACAAGTATATATATATCCATATCTCATGATATATGTAAATAATTTCTTGTCTATATATATACAAATGATATGACAATACATATATGTATATATGTGTATACATATAAATATAAATATAAATAATATATACATATAAATAGATATAGATATATATGTATATAAATGTATATATATATATATAAATGGATATATATAAGTATACATAATTGTATATATAAATAATATGTATATTATGTATAAATAAAAAGTTTATACTTAGTTGTATATATACAAATAGTATGTTTAGAAATATATATATATTTATCCATATACATATCTAAACTAATATATATATATATACTTATATATATATATAAATAGTACCTTTGAAATATCCGATGTTGTTGAACCTCTCCCACTGTTGATGTCAATCATGGTATTCCTCCGCTCCTTGTTACCCGCGCATTCCTTTGCAAGCACAAGTATAAGCAGATCTTAGTAGATTAGGGTCTGCAACGTACCACCAGCACATCTGCATACAATAACACACTCACAACAAACTGCCTAAACACAATACAGATATGCATTGTGTACGGAAGGCGGCCGTTGAACTCTCTCGCATGCACAACCCCTAAAACCCTAAACCATTTTTTAAAACGAAAACAATTGGCTTGGCTACTAACCTTTGATTTGGAATTTGTGCTTACGAAACCCTCACTCTTCATCTCTGGTAGCGCCTGGAACTGGCCAGAACTCGAGCTGGACTTGGCAGCGTTGTCCTTTTTCTTGCCCCAGGGTGAAAGCATGGAGATTGAACGCTACAGTACAGTTATTATACAACAATGGTGTATATAACAAGGAAGCAATGTGAGTGCACAGAAATAGGTGTAACAAACGGTGTATGCTGGTGATGCATTATCTTTGTATTGTATGTACATCATCGCATCCCTCTTAGAGACGAAACATACGATATATCAAGTATAGTCTACTAAGACACTGGAATAGTTAAGGTGTCGGATAGTGTAGGGATCAGTCAGCATTGCATGTCCGAAGCACATAGGTTTTGTGTATCTTAGTGAATGAAAAGAAACGAATACTCGACATCCGACTGGAGGGTAGCAGCGTCTACTGCGCATGTGCTGAGCTCGGCGGGTGATGGGATATACAAATTTGCGACACACAACTTACAAGGTACAAGTTTACGAAACAAAAACTTGTAATGTACAAGTTTGCAACACCCCCCCCCCCCAAACCAAGGTATAAATTTGCGACACACAACCTACAAGGAACGATGCAGATCGGTTCAAACGGGGACGCAAATACTCCTCGTAGGCTGGCGAATCGACCAGGCGCTGTACAGAGGGACAACAATAGATGCCATTAATTGGTAGGTAGGTATGGTAGGTACGAGATGCCTATAACATGGACCAGGCGCTGTACAGAGGGACAACAATAGATGTTATTAATTGGTAGATATGGTATGGTAGGTACGAGATGCCTATAACATGGACCAGGCGCTGTACAGAGGGACAACAATAGATGTTATTAATTGGTAGATATGGTAGGTACGAGATGCCTATAATATGACTCATGCCAAAAACATTGACAATAGAAATGCGGTATATAACGCACTAGTCGATGGGTGGGTAGGTGACGCTCATCTCATCTGTCACACAGTGTCACGGACGGTAGGTACACCTCTCCCGTCCATACAATAGACACCCGCAGCACCGTATGTTACAGCTGTTAGCAGCAACTACTATCACATACTACACCTATTACCAGCAACTAATCCCACATACTACACCTATTACCAGCAACTACTACCACATACTACAACTATAAGCAGCAACTACTACCACATACTACACCTATTACCAGCAACTACTACCACATACTACACCTAACAGCGGCAACTACTACCACATACTACAGCTATTAGCAGCAACTACTACCACATACTACAGTTATTACCAGCAACTACTACCACATACTAAACCTATTACCAGCAACTACTACCACATACTACACCTAATAGCGGCAACTACTACCACATACTACAGCTATAAGCAGCAACTACTACCACATACTACACCTATTACCAGCAACAACTACCATATACTACAGCTATTAACAGCAACAACTACCACATACTACAGCTGTTAACAG